AAATGCAGAAGGTAGGGACGTTTTGTGCCAAAAAATGATTGGTAGGGATGTTTTCTACAATAAACTTGATAGGTAGGGACGTTGCGCACCAAAAAATCAAACGTTGGGATGTTTTCCACACAACCCTTCAAAGGTAGGGACGTTTTGAGCCAATAACCCTTGCTTTTTTGTTGTATGTTCTGTGCAGCAAGCGTTACTTGATCTTGAATTCACTTGGCTTGTTGGGTCGAACCTTAAAAACTTAGAAATTTTGAGGCTTCATAGCTATTTTTTGAAGGTCTAGAATTATCGTGGAATGATTCGAATTGGCAGCTTAATGATTCTGGTGTTCTAAAAGCATGATATCAACCCAATTCACGTTATGAAAGACCCCCCAAGTGATGATAACACTGTGTGCGGATTGATATGTTGAGGATATCGTTACGAAGATTTTTCCAATATGGAACGTCATCGGTTAAGTCTAACCCACTACTACTTCAGAATATTCAAATGTCGAGCTAGCGATGATAAAATACTAGGGAACTAAATGAACAAAAGCCGAGATTCTATAATGATTTCCAAGACTATCCTTTCTATTTCGAAAAGGGCATAACCTTTCAGATTAGTGAGAAATCTACCTCTTACTTTCATTTGCACAATGCACCCTCTACCTCTCAATTAATTAGCAAAATTTGTCCCTTCCACCATTGTGGCTCCTCTTTGAATAAATAAAAGAAAATATACAAAATGGCAAAAACTCAAATTGCTCTAGTAGTAACTCATATTTCATGGTCGACCAATTAAATGTATGAACATGAGAATTTAGAGTCGTTTTATTGATTTTATCATTTAATGTAACATTGCATGGCGATCATAGATGGTGATTAATGTTATTCAGTCAACGGGTGATAAGCATTCATTTAGCTCTCAATTAAGTAATTGGACATTTTAAATATGACTCATATTTTTTATTTAATTACAATAAAAAGAACTAGAAGAAGAAAAATTTAGATTTGACGAGTTGACGAAGTCTAGTCCAGATATAGTAAATTAATGTTCACACTTTTAGATGTTGGTGAGAAAGTTTGAATATAAAGAGACGTATACGTATAGACTAATTGCAACTTGTTAAATAAGTATTGTTTAGATTGTAACTATGTGCTATGAGTCATTGTCTCAGAATTCTTCGAATATATTCAAGTTTACATATATTCATCTCAATCAGCATTTTAACTAAAAAATTCTCTTGAACTCAAGGACAAAGAGTACGTTGGATGGAACAATACTAAGAGTAATGTTATGTAGCTTCACTGGGGTTGTAACCCCAATGTAGGTGATTCTAAATGATAGAATAAATGAAAGGTGAAATTAAATTACTTATTTAATTTCACATATCATTTAATGTCACATTAACGTCATCAAGACTGAGTTGTAACCTTAGTGGAGCTAAATAGCATTACTCCAATACTAATCCATCGAACAACTAACGAGTAGCCCGCTTGCGAAAGGTTTGACAGTAAACACGTTATATTGAGAATGCAAAATAGTTCCTTAAGTCTATTAGTTAAATGTAGAATTACGTGCCGCTTAAATATGAAAAAATATATTGAATATAAGGG